CAGTGTTAGACTCACCTTGGTTAGTGAAGCTAAAGGCATCATGTCCAGGCCTAGTCCCCCTTTGGTCTCTGCAGCCTGCATGTGCTTCCAAGGAGCTCAGTTCTGGACATTCTTAAACGTCCTCTGGAAGAGAAAGTGTTCAATCGAGTCTGATTACGAGCTAAAACATCAAAAAATTAAAAACACCCAAACACAGAGCTATTATATACTACTGTATCATAAACTAAAAGTAAATAAAGATTAATATCTCATTATTATCTTTTTGACCATTTCTTCTCTCTCAGTATGAATATGCCTCATCTTCCCTGGCCTATACCTCTGAACTCTCTGTGAAATAGTGTTTCCCACACTGGACAGCGGGGAGACAGATTGCGGCTAGGGTAGTTCTCCTCTCAGGGGTTGAGTGAGAAGAGCGTTAAGTCAAGTAGCAGGAATAAAGAGCTTACTGCCCTCACCATCGCCAGGCCCCAGTGAGGTGACACACCAGAGGTAATGGGGCACTGGCCTGGTGTGTTGTGGGTAATGGTTGTGCTTAGAAGGCCATGGCCCCATGGCTTTGCTGCATTGGGAGACTCAGGAGTGGTGTGCGTGAGATGTGTGTGTGTGCGGGGCAGCGACAGGGCCGGTGGAGCGGAAGGCAGGGTAACAGATGGAGGAGCCATAGAGAGAGGAGGGGTGGAGAGGGAAAAGGGGAAGGATGGATGGTGGTTTTTAAATTAATGAAGGGTGCAACACTTAATAAAGTCCTAACCCGGGAGTCTGCTGTCACTAGGGGCCACTGCTGGGTGCACTGCTGAGTTGTTGTGGAAACCAACGCCACCAGTGTGAGCATGGATAGCGTTTGCAGATGCTCCCTGGACCCTCAAGTTCATTCAGGTGTGTCTGAGACTAATCTAATAAATCTGTCGGCCTAGTAAGCCACGCGCATGCAAACACACTGGGCGCGTATATTGGTGTGTGGCATTGGTTGCTCAGGGACTGCAGGCTGATCCTGACACACAAAAACACATACAATCCCCTACAATGCAGAGCTTAGGCAGTTTTGTGCAAATATCTGCAAAAAAGCAAAAACATTTTCCAACACATTTTTTATACTTTTACAATTAATGGTTTAACACACACAAACAGCCGAATATGTTTGTGCTGAGATGTAGCAGGGACAGACAGCTGAGACGATCACAGAGTGAGGGGGTCAAAGGATAGCAATGAGCATGGCAAAAATACTGTCCGCTCACTGCTACTCTACCTCAGTCAGTGAGTCAGTCACTGATCTCATCTCATCTCAGTGCTCTCTAAATGGTGACAAGTCATTAAGTGGAGTCCCCCCCACCCCCACCCCACACAGACACGAGCGTGCACACTCACCTTATCAGATCCCAAGCAGCTGTGAGAGTGAGATTAAGACAGACAGGGAGTTTTACCCCCCATAGAAAGTATTTTCATTAACTACTCCCTTTGTTCTAACTCTGACCCACCACGTCAATGTCGTGGTAGTGGAGGTAGTACTTCTGTCATTCATTTGCCATTCACCCAGCTCAATATAACATTGATAGGTTTAGGCTACTATGTGATACTCAAATTTTCCCTATACCCATCATGAGGTTGGTACAACCTAGCCTATGAATGAAAGTTTACAACGTAGGTGCACAGGTAGAGAGAAACATTTGAGTAATCTGTAAGCAAGCGGTTTAGCAGTTACACCGGCGGGCCCCCGTGGCAATAAATTAATAAAACCAAAAGCTTAACTTGGAAGAGTTCCAGTGTTGGATAGCCATAGCCAGCTAGCTAACAGAGCATCCCTCTCTGTTTGAGCTGGGTGTTTGAGTAGGCTAAACTAGCTAGCTGCATTCGCTAGTTTAGCCTAGTTTAGCTAGCTGCATTCAAGTAAAAAAATAAAATTGAATTTGTTCAAAACTGCTCAACTATTGTCTTTCTCTCTCTGAGTTAACTACTCACCACATTTTATGCTAGCTGTAGCTTATGCTTTCAGTACTAGATTCATTCTCTGATCATTTGATTGGGTGGACAACATGTCAGTTCACGCTGCAAGAGCTCTGACAGGTTGGAGGACATCCTCCGGAAGTTGTCATAATTACTGTGTAAGTCTATGGAAGGGGGTGAGAACCATGAGCCTCCTAGGTTTTGTATTGAAGTCAATATACCCAGAGGAGGACGGACACTAGCTGTCCTCCGGCTACACCATGGTGCTACCTTACAGAGAAGCGGAGTCACTGACCACCTTCCGGAGACACTTGAAACACTACCTCTTTAAGGAATACCTGGAATAGTATAAAGTAATCCTTCTACCCCCCCCCCCCCATAAAAAAAAAAAGAAACGTGGTTGTCCCACTGGCTATCATAAGTTGAATGCACCAATTTGTATGTCGCTCTGGCTAAGAGCGTCTGCTAAATGATGTAAATGTAAATGAGGCGACAGCAGACCTTCATTGCAACACAGTGTGTTTTAATCAATTACAGTGGCTTGCGAAAGTATTCACCGCCCATGGCATATTTCCTATTTTGTTGCCTTACAACCTGGAATTAAAATTGATTATTTGGGGGTTTGTATCATTTGATTTACACAACATGCCTACCACTTTGAAGATGAACACTTATTTCTTGTTTGTTTCACATGAAAAAAATAGACAAAAAAACAGAACTTGAGCGTGCATAACTATTCACCCCCCCAAAGTCAATACTTTGTAGAGCCACATTTTGCAGCAATTACAGCTGCAAGTCTCTTGGGGTATGTCTCTATAAGCTTGGCACGTCTAGCCACTGGGATTTTTGCCCATTCTTCAAGGCAAAACTACTTCAGCTCCATCAATTTGGATGGATTCCACTGGTGTACAGCAATCTTTAAGTCATACCACAGATTCTCAATTGGATTGAGGTCTGGGCTTTGACTAGGCCATTCCAAGACATTTCAATGTTTCCCCTTAAACCACTCAAGTGTTGCTTTAGCAGTATGGTTAGGGTCATTGTCCTGCTGGAAGGTGAACCTCCGTCCCAGTCTCAAATCTCTGGAAGACTGAAACAGGTTTCCCTCAAGAATTTCCCTGTATTTAGCGCCATCCATCATTCCTTCAATTCTGACCAGTTTCTCAGTCCCTGCCGATGAAAAACTTGATGGTGTTCTGGTGGTGATGAGGTGTTGGTTTTGCGCCAGACATAGCGCTTTTCTTGATGGCCAAAAAGCTCAATTTTAGTCTCATCTGACCAGAGTACCTTCTTCCATATGTTTGGGGAGTCTCCCACATGCCTTTTTGGCGAACACCAAACGTGTTTGCTTCTTTTTTTCTTTAAGCAATGGCTTTTTTCTGGCCACTCTTCCGTAAAGCCCAGCTCTGTGAAGTGTACTGCTTAAAAGTGGTCCTATGGACAGATACTCCAATCTCCGCTATGGAGCTTTGCAGCTCCTTCAGGGTTATCTTTGGTCTCTTTGTTGCCTCTCTGATTAATGCCCTCCTTGCCTGGTCTGTGAGTTTTTGTGGGCGGCCCTCTCTTGGCAGGTTTGTTGTGGTGCCATATTCTTTAAATTTTTTAATAAATGGTGCTCCGTGGGATGTTCAAAGTTTCTGATATTTTTTTATAACCCAACCCTGATCTGTACTTCTCCACAATGTCCCTGACCTGTTTGGAGAGCTCCTTGGTCTTCATGGGCCGCTTGTTTGGTGGTGCCCCTTGCTTAGCGGTGTTGCAGACACTGGGGCCTTTCAGAACAGGTGTATATATACTGAGATCATGTGACACTTAAATAAAGTCCAACTGTGTGCAATCTAACTAATTATGTGACTTCTGAAGGTAATTTGTTGCACCAGATCTTATTTAGAGGCTCCATAGCAAAGTAGGTGAATACATAAGCACGCACCACTTTACCGTTATTTATTGTTTTGAATTTTTTGAAACAAGTAATTTTTTTCATTTCACTTCACCAATTTGGACTATTTTGTGTATGTCCATTACAGGAAATCCAAATAAAAATCCATTTAAAATTACAGGTTGTAATGCAACAAAATAGGTAAAAACGCCAAGGGGGATGAATAGTCCCGTGTAGCACAGTTGGTAGAGCATGGCGCTTGCAACGCCAAGGTTGTGGGTTTGATTCCCACGGGGGACCAGTATGAACATGTATGCACTCACTAACTGTAAGTCGCTCTGGATAAGAGCGTCTGCTAAATTACGTAAATGTAAAATACTTTTGCAAGGCACTGTATTTGATGACATGTGAATATATTTAGTATAGTTTTATCTAAAATTGATAACTTTAATGTTTCACAATTTTTCTGTATACTGTATTCATTGTTGTGCAAGTCAATGTATTTTGGGAGATATCGGTGTGTGGTGTGAGGCAGGGCCGGATAGGGTACGTACAAATCTGCGCTCGATGAATCGTTTGAGGTAGCAAGGGTTGTTGAACAGGTTGGGTAGTAGGATCATGATCATGTCTCCTACCATGTATATCTCCCACCATGTCTGCAGTCACAGCTGTTTAGCCAATCAAATATAGACAGGCTCTGCAGAAATACCAAGGTAGACCAATCAGCACAAAAAAGGTGGGTCGGTCAACAGATGGTGTGCAGCCCAATATGAACTCAACACCTAGGCTGTGTCCAGTAAGTTTTTACATTCTGGAACGTTCAATTGAACGAAAACGGTGCTGTACTGAACGACCAGTTGAAAAGGGGAGGGGTTGGGTTGTGGGTTGGGGAACACTGTCAGCATGGCCACTTCCCTTGACATATGTCACTCATTGCTTCAAGCCACACCACGCCACACCCTACAAATGGGAGACAAACATACCTCAAAGTATGTTCAAGAATGTACAAGAACGTTTTGGGGAAACATGCCGTTCAGTACAAACTCTTCCGCAACGTAGCAAATGTTCAAACGAACTGAACGTACCTCTAGTCCCTATCCCGTCAGATGATCTGAAAGGATTGAATAGGTATAAGCAATCTACAGAAGTGTATAAGGGTAGAGACTACAGTGGAATAGGTTTATATTTCTGCCCCAGTTCCCCACATGGTCCCTTTCCGTGGCACCAGAAATAGTGGCTTGAAGCCCAGGTACCCTGAGTCAAAGTAATGGAGTCCATGTTGGCCAAACCTGGAGGGGGACATGAGAAATTAGTCATGTCCCCTGACAAAACATACCAAGAACAAAGCACTATATAATACAATAGAGCAGAATAGAAAAGAACAAGGTATCGATTACACAAGCAAAAGACGCAAGGAAGGGGAAAGAGAGGGAGGATAGGAGACGACAATGGAGGTAAGATATTACTAGATTCAGAGGGAAAAGAGGAGAGAGGGACTCACATGGCGTAGGTACTCTCCTGAGAGATGGAGACCCCAGGCCAGTGCAGGGGCCAGGCCGCCTCGGTGGAGAGGAAGAGCTTGAAGGACTGGCAGGGCTCCCAGGTCCTCCTCAGGTCCCACATCGTTACCATCCTATCATCCCCTGCCATCACCATGAGGTCTCTAGGAGAGGGATGGGCAGAGGAGAGGGGAGAAGAGATGAGGGGAGCACAATGGAGGAGAGGAAAGAAAAAGTAATGGAACAGGAGGGAGGATAGGAGACATTAGTGGAGCTGATGGATAGTAGAAAAGGTGGAGAGAAGATGGCAGGCAGTCTAATCACAAAAGAGAGGGAAATGAAGGAGGAAGAAAAGGTGGGCGTGGACAGCTCCAGTCTGCCCAGTGTCCTGTACAGTAGCTCTTTATTGTCCCTCATTAAAACTAGGGCCGGGACGATACCAGTATCGCAATATTTTTTTCCGTGCCAAAAATGAAAACACGAAGCAGATCATACTGTTTGGTCCTTTAAAAACCTGTTGTATGTCAAATATATAAATGTGACTCTGGATGACAAGATAATTATGTATATTTCCAACATTAGGGCTGTTTTCCTCAAGAAGTTAAATCCGCTTAGTGTTTTGTTTCCCTGCCACGATACTAACGAGTATCGCGATACTGGTATCGCCCCGGCCCTAATTAAAACCCAGCAAGACAGATAAGATGGATGCCTGCCCCCTGCCAAACAACCCAGAGCGGGGCCCCAAGTGCCTCCATAACACCAGCCCATAGACTGGAGAATAACTGGCTGTTATGGCCCATCAATGTTACACTCTAACCCGTGACTCCTGATATCTTTACAGCTTTCGAATAAAGATGATCCTCACACATTTTAAGCTGCTGGTGGTTGTTCAGTATGCAGCAGACTGAGGAGTGAGATGGGATGGGGTTCACCTAGCCTTCTAACTCTTCTAGTTAATTAGATTTATCTGCGCTGTTACACAGGAGAAGCATGGCCCGGGAGGCTACGATTGTTTTAGACTTTACTACAGGGGTAAATAAGTGTTTCATTAAAGATGCTATGAGAGGGAAGGGCAGGCACTGAGCAGTAGCCAATAAACTCAGTGGTGTTGTTTGGGAACAGACCAGGTCCCAACCCTTTAGTCCATGGGATGTAATAGTGAACATACAGTTACAGAGAGCTCAGAGACATTAATCTCCCCATTCTCGGTGTGAAACTTCCAGAGAAGCAGTCTTTAGCGTGCTTCCACTACCAGTGCCTTCGTGAGACTATTTGACCAGGATGGTCCGGCCCCTGGCCATAGGTACGTACCCTCTAGTCTAGAGTCTACCCCCAACAGAGCATCTGTAGTGGGGCTGGAGTGACAGCTGAGAGCCCCCCACCCCTCCCTACCCCACCCTCACACGTGCACATGTTTACATGAATCACAACATCACCGAGCGCAACGGAGTGAAATGACATCTTCATTCCCTTCCTTCCCCTCTTCATTCCCTATCGCCACCATCGGTTTACCTCTCCGCTCCACTTCCATCCTCCAATAAGGCAAATGGGAGTGTGTTTTAGCTCAGACAGTGTGTGGTTATTACAATTGCATAGCTATCACCATGAGCTGTGAGTGTGTATGAATGTGTGAGCCTTTCTCCAGCAGCCTGCCACCCTGCCCTACAGCAGACTCAGACAGCTGCATGGTGCAGCGTGGAACTCACAGCCGGAAGGTCACTGCTTTTTACGGTCCACGACCATATTGGATTGTTGGGGATGAAAACAAGGCTACATGTTCAGAATGGCAATGATGGCTGGTTACTCCGATGCAGGCAGTAATGTAGCCTACCTCACTGGGACTCAGTCTGATAATGTAAGCCTTACACTGGTCAATATACCACGGCTAAGGGCTGTATCCAGGCACTCTGCGTTGCATCGTGCTATACCACGGCTGTCAGCCAATCAGCATTGCCTTATTGCTTAAGTATAATGTTTACAAAAACCCAGACATGTCGGTCAACCACACTGACTATAAGAATGGGGCTCATAATCCAATGTTTACTCAAGTGAGTGCCAAATGTACTGTAGTTTTAACAGAATCAGACTAGTACTTCTAGACTACATGTTGCCCCACCAAATCGCTACCAATCCTTGATTAAATGAATAACAATCAATGAGACACAGATGTACTGAATGCTACGGTGTTGTTGAGTACCATCATAGAAGCCAGCAGCAAGGATGTTGTGAGGTTTAACAGGCAGCCAGTCCATGGAGAGGACCTGGTTAGTCTTTTCATCATGGTTGGCCTTGAAGGAGCCTCTCTTCAGGGTGATCACACCATGTACCTACAGACACACATGGAAGGATAAGAATGAGATTTGTACACATCAGCAGGACAAGCATATCATAAGATTTAAAATAAAACATTGTGTGTGCGTGTGGCTGGACAGTGACTTCTATTTCTCAGAATTGCTGAGAGTTGAAGATTACAGTTCAACTTTCCATACAGCTGTGTTTTGTGAGGATGAGAGAATAGATATTAGCCTACCTGGCAGATCAGTGCTGGGCTGGCTCCACCTATTGGGAAACACATAAAGTCTTTATTAACTTTATGATTATTGATGGGAAGATTATAACTCAATACATGAACACAGATTTATTACTGACTGTAATTAAACAAACTGGGCTATGTGGCGTGCAAACACACACACACAAACATAACCCATCTAAAATCAACACTCATTCACCCTGCAGTCAGTGCAGTCAGATAGCACTAAGACAGGGAGAGAGAGAGAGACATGGAGCTGAGGAATCATAGTCCCTCTCCAAAGCCAGTCTGTCGTTTAAGATGGAATCGGCTAGCCGTCAGAATCCCAGGCTGTGTCTGTCCGCTCTGTGATATGGATGTACAAAGTCAGGGCCCAGGGCCGTTCAATCACAGAAGACATGGCACTACTCCGTCTGACTCCTGTTTTTCCAATAGAAGTACACACTCCAAGTCTGACTCTGAACATTCTCCTGGCATCACACCATATCTGACTGGACCTTTATCTGACGGGCCTCTCTGCTGGCCTTAACCCAAACCCAAAGAACCGGTCTCCTTTCCTGGATGTGCCAAGTGATCTGGATCTCTTTCATTGCATTAATTATTACTTTGTTGCTCAGAATGTTTGTGCAATAATTTACTCTACTTGCAAAATGTCCTATATTTGCTATAAATGCTCAAATGTTTATTATATTCTACGGAGCCATTTACTTTATGTTCAAATTGTTATCTTTTATTATTTCTTATTGTTGTTGTATTGTCGAGAAGAAACCTGTGAACATTTCGTTGGACGGTGTATACCATGTGTATCCTGTACATACGACTAATAAAACTTGAAACTGAAACTAGGGCACGAGACAGGCGGGCAGGATCCTATTGGCTCGGCCACTTAAAGTGGACTAACACGGAGGCATTTATGTGGCTGAATCTTTACTTATTACAAAGGCTGTAAAAACAGCATGGGGTTAGTTAGACAAAAGGACATGGACTGTGGAATATGTACAATAATGGAGAAATGCTAATGACACTTTATAGCTAACAGGAGGGATACAGCACTGGTTAGGGGATTTCAGGTCCTCCTTTGGTCTCCACATTGAGCAGTCCACCTCTGCACCCACCCCCTTCAGGTCGATACAGCATCATGTCTCACTGCTCCCGCACCCCTACCACCCCACCTTCGACCCCCTCCACCCACACCTCCCCAAACCCAGCAGCCTCCCTTCCCAATAGGCTGGTTTAGGCCTGTGTGAGTGACAGGTCTGGGGGAGAAAGGTGTCAGGTACTAGGCTGAAATTCATGGCTTCCAACACTAACAACTGCGTAGCGATGCATCTTCTTTGTCATTTCAATTATAGATCCTTGTCTAATGGAAACTAAATTATCTCCATTGAGCAAGAAGGAGGAGGAGACAGGTTCTTTGTTTTCACCAACCAGGTTTTTTACGGGCACTTTCACGCACACCAAAAGCTATCTATAATTATCTGCCCCAAACAGTTTAGCAGACGGTGAGCACACACTCACGTGCACACGCATCTGAACCCTTAACCATCTCACTTCTGCACAGAGACAAGGCTGGCTCACATCATTACTAAATTACAGTGATGGCATTACAGAATGGGATTTTTGATGAACTCATTTGCATTTCATCCAGCCACTGTGGCAGGTTTTCTATCAGTCTGTTAAAAGCCCCTATTTCTCCCCTCTCTCTAGCTCCATGTAGAGTAAATTCACTACTTTCTCTCTCCGATCTCTCGCTTAGCCTCACACCTGGCCCTCCATACAGGCAGCACCAGGGGCCCTAAATGTCACTCGTCACTCAGGTGTGGCTGTCCTGACCGCTGTGACTCTAAAGGGGGGGGGGTCATAGTTCAGCTTAGTGACCCAGCTAGGCTCTCCCAGATGAGGTCTTGGCAGGACATGAAGGATGGCTAGCCAGGGCCCAATGTTCCCTCTCAACGGTCCAAAAACCTCAATGTAACCTCCCAGGGCACTGACCATGTAATCTTTTCATCCCCCATCTCTGAGCCTGGGGGAGGGCGAGGCTGATGTGAAAGGAACTGTGTACAATGAGGCAGAAAACAATTAACTGGATAGAAAGGGCACTAAAAGAGAAAAAGAACAGACAGGCATTTTAGGCAGTGAAAAAATAAAAACGCAACGCTGCATCAACAAACTGCTCCATAAAAGTTAACCCCAACCTGATATACTGAAGGGAGCATTCTAAACCCATGGTCAAAAGATGACTCCAGCTTTCTGAGCTGCCTATATAAGGCTGACAAACGCCTAAAGCTGTGATCCTACAGACCTAAAACCTTTGAGGCGGATCGATAATGATGACTGATGTTATAGAGAGAGAAAAAAGCTAAAAAGAGAAAATCCTGACTCTGAACAAAAGAACCCTCAGGTTCATGAATCACTCTCTCTGCAGTGCTGCTCTTATCTCCTGGAGTGAGCCCTGCCCTTTGTGTGTGTACCAGTGTGTGAAATGGTACATTTGCTTCTGTTGTTTGGAATAATCTAATTAGAATATGCATTCAAACTGACTTTAAGTCGCGAAAACTGTGGGATGCAGCAGGTATTTTCTAGTGTAAATGATGGATGGGCCAGATAAACATGTCATCAACCTAATGACTGTA